GTATATTATATGTAATTTTAAATAAAATGCAGATATTATAAACCTTACTTAACAACCGATTAGTTCGTGTATGAAATATATACGCATAATAACCGTTGAAATTCGAGTGGATTTCTTCAACATAATTCATCTTAGATCGTCTTGATATTGTAGTTTATTAAACGATTGAACACAAAATCTTCAGTAAAATGTATTAACACAGGTTTACTGTATATTATTGTTATAATATTAATTATTAAATATTGTACAATCGTTTGAGAAAAATGAATGGTAATAATACGTCTAATACGTATAAGTAGGTACCTAATCCATAAATAATGAATCCAAAAAGTCGAAATATCATAGAATATATTATGCAAAGTATAAATTATAGGAAAAATATTCTAAATGAATTCTGTATCTTTATACGAGTGCAATGAAAAAGAACAAAGTCTAATATATGGGACATTTCAACAAAATCGTATGATAATAATATATTATATGTAATTTATAATATATAGGTATATCGTATACAAATACTGCGTGCCAACAAAAAAAGTCCGAGAATTACACATTTGTAAAAGAATTTTCTAAATTATAGTCTTGTTTGAAAATATTTTTACAATTTCGTGTGCAGTGTGCCAATATACATTCTCAACTATAGTCTCTACTCTCTATAGAGTCTATATAGATGATATTTTTAAACGATTTGATTTATATTATATAATTTAATAGACTCTATTGAATAGAGTATACTATATACTATATACTATAATTATGTATAAGTACACATTTATACTTAATTTTTTCGAAGAACATTCATTATTTCAAAAGTTTTTGAAAATATTTTTCATAACATTTGAAGTTATTAAACATACCACGTTTTATTATCGTTATCATTTTTTAGATATTTTACTTACTTGAATTACAGCTTATATTTTTGATTTCATATTTCATAATAGGATGTTTTTTAAACGGCTTTAATGTATAAAATACAAATTTTGAACATTTAGTTAATAAGTTAAATATTCAAAGTTTAAATGAACGGAGTAGAGTGTCATAATAGTGTTCCTTAAAATATTGGCCCACTTCTCCGATCATCAAAACATTTTTATTATTAACTATAAAATATAAGTAAATAACACAACATAAAATATACGATTAACATATGTGTTAAGAATGAAGTTAATTGTTATTTACATGAAAAATATGTCACTCATTACCGGTACTTTTAACGGAAAAGGAAATTTATATACAAAACATATGTATTTTTTTCTTTAAATTAATTACTCGTTCAAAATTCGATGTTTGTGCATCCAAAAGTTCTATTTTTAAATAAAAAGTAATGTTTTCTTAAAATTAAGTTAAAACTTAAATAATAAAAATCAATTATAAAAATAATTTAATTATTATTTTTTATATGTTGTTCTTTAATAACTCTACATTTTTAAAAATGCAAATTTTTAAGATAATTGGCGTTGAAATTAAAATAATTTCCCAGTTATTATATATTTTAATATTTTATAAAATGTATTCATGATGTGAAATTATATTACTTAAGTTATTTGGTTGAAAACATCTTTTACATTGATATTTTAGCAGGAATGTCATAAAGCATTCTACATAGAATTTTTTTTTTCGATTAGTAATTCTACTACCACGTGTACTAGGTTTCTGAAAAACTGACATGAATAAACCTTGTATTTGCTAAAAAAACTAAAGGTGAAAAAAATTTACTCATATTAACAGAATTTTAGAACGTCGCACGGTACAAGAGGAAGGGTAGTAGACTCTCCTTCAGTGACACGCCTATTTGATGCTTGAAATTAACGAGAAATCTATATTTTTTGGATAACAGAATAAATATTAAATAACAATACAATACTCAAATTAGTGTATAAAATCTAAATGTATCTTGGTACATAAGGATATTATTAAACGATTCTTTTCATCGTTCTTTGCCATCGTCGTGACCACGAGAATAAGTGCTTCGAAACGACATAATATTATATACATGCGTACAATATACTACATGAGTACTTCGATCTTACAAGCTGCACCGAGGTCTGAAGTGTGTGCGAATGAAAATATCCAGCGGGCGGGTTGATTGAAAAAAAATAAAATAATTTCCGTCGTACACACGTTACATACGCACTGGTTGGGGAACACTCCTTCATACATTATATATCACATGGATCGCGTGCTGTTAAAACGATGATTCAAATCGCGTTTCCGGTTCGTAAATATTTATATTTATGCGTGTATGTATGTTCTATATTTGTCGTATAGATATAACGTTCCGGTATACATGATGTATCTACACATCGTCTACTGCCGCTATATGGTTATAGCCTTATAACCTAGCCTTATAAGTCATAAACGTCTACTACTGCAGACCTACCTCTCGTTACTATTGCGTTAAAAACTGTCGTGCGGTTTCAGGGTGCTATATTGACTTACCCATATATATATATATATATATATATATATATATATACACCACTGACGTTGCGAAGTATTCTTATCGTGTAAACAGTAATGACTAATGAGCGTAGTATTGTCATATGATATTATCAGGGGGGTGTGCACAGTATATTATTAAAAACTGAGTGCAAGCACTGTAGCAAGCACTCCAACTTGCGACATCGTTTGCATTATTTCTCGCAAATGGAAATCAACGGCATATAGAGGGGAAGGAAGAATAATAAAATGATAAAATACCTAAGTTTATCAGTGAGATACGATATATTATATGTATAAATTGTTGATCTCATGCAGCTCCCTATTTTTTACATAGAATATATTATATATAATCAACGCTATGTTTGCGTCCGTAATGCTTTATGACGCACACTCGCTTTTTCGAGTTATTTTCTTTCTTTTTTTTTTTTTAGTACATATATAAATATGTGTGTGTGTGTGTGTGTAAATGCGTTAGAGGGAATAATGTAATGGAATAACGTAATGAGCATTCTCGAGTTGAGTCGCAGCAGCGCCGCGTGTCGAAAACGACCGCCTGAAACAGCTGCGTGTCCCCTCCGCCAACGCCTCGTCGACAATGAAAACTTTACTATAATATAAGCGCCCCTCAAAAGTCGAAAATTACTTTAAATAAAAAAAAATACACACACGCGTATCATATGAAAACGAAAAAATTAGTTGATATGTATATACCTATTGTATCGCATAAACTTAACAATATATTATGCGTATGAGCGTATGTAATAAATATATTACATTAATTATGTTATGTATTATCGTGAAAAATGTTGAATTCGTTGTTATTTATTGACCTTAATATTTACATTGAATACCTAAAAAATCGACACCAAATTCAAAACGTAAATTTAAATGACTCTTTGATATATTATAGGTTGGAGAAAGGGAGGTAGTTCCGTACGAGGGGAAAATCTGTATGATAAAGTTTTCTGAATATTGAGTCAAGATAGAAAAAAAATTATTGATGTTTATTTATCCATGACCGTATGTTTATTGTTATCGACAACTATATTAACCTTATTTGCAATAAATTCTCGTTCAAATTCCTATTATCATAAAATATTTTAACCGCTAATTTTTGTTCATATATTATAATTAAAAATATTTATACTTAATTTTGTTTGATGTAAAAGAAAACTGTGTAAAATTACAAAAAATTAAGTACCTATTTAATGATATAGCTAATTAGAAAAAATATTGCTTGTACTTTTTACTTAATTACTGTTAATTTAAAGTCACTTACTATGGGGCTAAACCATTGAGGTTAGGTATGCTATGTATGCTATTGCTATAGGTACCTATATACGTGATCCTATAGTTAATAAAATTTGATATCAAGTATTATGCAAATAAATAATAATTATGAAGCAAAAAATAAATATTTATCAACATTAAATATTAGCTAAACATAATAATCATTCTAACAGTACCTAAAATAAATCTCTACTTCAAATCCCCCCACGTAACTCCCATGATGTTTACATTATATTATAATAGATAAATGGACGGCATAATTATTTTATAAGAGATGAACTTATAGGTAATAATTTGTGATTATTAAAAATTTTTTATCAAGCATAATATTATGTACAACCCATTATTTTTCTATTGTTTTAAATCATTTAACCATCATACTATTTTGCCTTAAGACAAAAATATTTTTACTCTACTTATGGAACAAAATCATGTTTTCGAGTATTTTTAAAATGTGGATGATTTTTTTTTAAGTTCATACAAAAAAAAAAAAAAAAAAAAATGCTTAAATATTATTGAAAGTAACAATATTTTTATATAAATTATATTACTTAATATATATATATTCAAATTTCTAAAATTTTGTAAGTTCTACAAGGCTTATAAGTTATTAGTACAATTCTGCCCCGCCTTCCAATATATATTAACTATACAACTCCCAGTGGAGAGTAAGATTGAATTAAACCAATAAAAAATTATTATATAAGCGTATACCAAATGATTCGTTGTACGATTAGTATTTTCAACTCAATTTTTCTACAAGATTAAAAAAAACTGTATATAAGTATATTTTACAGAAATGAGGTTTTTAATTTCATTTTTTGGTTTGGATTTTATTTTTTATAAGTACTTATTTTTTAATTTCATATCTTAATATAATTATAATTGTTATGTTTATTACCTTTAAATTATACACATATCGAATATCTATTAAACTAATATTTTATTACCTACTCTAATTATAATACATAATTATAATATAAACACCTTAGCGAGAATTTATGTATATATATTTTTAATAAGTAGGTATACTGTATATACTGATATTAAACTTACATTTAAACAATAATATTATATATTCGACATATGTATACATTAAACATAGGAAATAAATATAACGATAACGATATAATACTATAAAAACTTAAGTCTCTGCAATAAGTATGATTAGAGCGTTTTCAACGTTATATTATATCAATATGCATTATTTACGAGGTCGATATAATATATTATAATATTATATGTTTATAATATATTATTATACTTACATTTATTTGTCCGATTTTGTATGCAGTGTCCTTAACGCTTGATGATAACCATTCCTCGGACAATTTCACACTTTTTCAATGGCATCTAAAAACATATAAATACATTATTTTATTACCCACAAAGTGTACAATTAGTAAATATACGATACACACGCACATATATACTTTGTAATATAATATTTATAGATATAATAATAACAATATTAATATAGAAAAATATACAATGATTGTGTATGCGTCACATAAATATTGACCCACTCAAAAAAAAATGTCACTTAAGCCGAAAATCTTAGTATGTTTTTCAAGTACATAATTTTTTTTTTTTTGAAAAACTCATAAGTGTTCACACGCACATCTTTCTTGACTAAAAATTGAATACGATGAGTGTTTAAAGAGGTTTCATTTTCCCAATAGTTTTTAAGGTGGTCAGCTTAAAAAAATCTAGTAGAATCGTATTTGAATTACAGTAAATATTCTATGTATAATAAAAAATATAATCGTTCTCTCGATGTTATAATAATACGCGTTTACAAGATAAGAGTAAAGTTCGTTATAAGATACTTCTAATAAATCGTTTAAATAAATAAATAGCCAGCGTTTAAAAATAAAATAAGGTCGGAAAATTGCATGATTTCCGTGGGCAACAATGAGAGAGATAGATATAGCGATACGTATAACAGAGACCGAAATCACTACATTTTCCGAGATTTCTAAAACGACTCCATCATTGTACACGTATCTAATATCCATAGGTATACACACATTGGCTGCAGACAAATCGTGAGTCTCCGGGGAATATGGGATGGTTTAAAATTTGCATCCAGTAATTGGCTGGAATCCCACGCGGTGCCGCCTGTGGCAAGAAAATGACTACGAATTGCAGTACTTATCCCGTGAAAACGCTGATAACGAAATGGCGGTTTCGGAATACTAATACAGTAATACATCATAATAATATCATACGCGTGTATATACTCGCATAAGTCGGAAGTTTCGCGCGTGCCTGCTGCAGTAGCCCCCAGGGATGATATCTCTATTATATACACCACGTGACGGATATATTGTCAGAACGGAAAGCGGGGACAATATTATATACGTATTGGACTTGATGTGCGCGCGTGCAGCATTATTTACTTTTCGATCTCGTTCCGGAGGCTATATAGTTACAGTGTTTTATCGTAAACACAAATTCGAATGAGATTTATTTTTCTTCAACTCTGCATAAAAAATACGCGCATTATGTAAAATCAAAGAAACTATCAGCATAAAGCTCTGCAGCTGCACAACTGCATCTTTCCAACGTATGTATATATATATATATATATATATATATATAAGTTTAATATACCATCATATACACGTGCAGCTCGAGGCGGTAGATCTTGTGTATGATACACAATTATAAATGCCCTCATACCCGCCTCTTTACATTACACGTCTTACCTTACACAATAACTATCCATTTAATGTTTGAAAACCTAACAAAATATGAAATCATTAGGTTATTTTTAAGATATTCGCTCATTGGTTCAACAAATCGATTGTCTACCAATTAAAAACAATCATTTTGATGAATAATAAAAAATTATCTTTATCGATTATGCGTAACTTTCTGATACAATAGTTATTTTTAGAAATCTCATTTCAAAAGTATAATTTTGAAAATAACTCATCGACGAATACAAATCGATGAGTGAGATACTGCACCACATTTATTTATGGATACGTTTATGCGAAGGCAAACAGTTTTTTAGAAAATGATATGCGTAGATAGTTATCTCGTCGTATAATTTATTATATGTATGTTCGATATGATTATAATCGTGTCGATCCGAACGCGGAAAATAAATTAAAAAAACTTTTTGCGTGATGTGATAACAATCCGATACTTCTATAATATTTATTATAGAAATTTATGTGCATAATATATAAATATGGTTAAGAAAATGACGTCGTTTGTTGTGTAGTACATGTATGATATATATAAATTTAATGATACGTTTAAACTCGTCAGCAGTGTATTATCATCATTGCAGTGCATAAAATGGTTGTGTATTATAAGACACCGCTCGCGGGCTTTTCTCCGCTCATTAAATGTATCTAATATATAAAAATTAAACTAAACAATGCGCACGTGTTTATACGTACATACTTAGTACCTACATGGCTTATAAATATCGAATACGATTAAAGGTATGTAAAAAACCCGATTCGCCTTTTTGACGAACATTATATATATATATATATATATATATATATATATATATATATATATACCGTTAACGGGCACATTACAAAATGTGCTACTGCTAAGGTGTTACGTACATATTAGATACCATAAAGTTAACGACGGTTTAAAAATGCATAAATATTTACTTAACAACTTTAAAAACGTCTATGACCATAAAACATGATATTTTTAACGACCAACATCGCAATTATCCCGAGCTCGCATTACACACGCGCGTTAATATTATAAGTTAATATACATCTATAATTATATACATCTATGTCCACATAATTATACAAAATAAACGAATAAACTAAACGAGTATTGTCTTGATGGCCGATGGCGTACACTATACGTACATGGTAATAATGACTATCATAATATTATTATTTACACCATCAAGAGCAATGCCATAGTTTCATTGGTATTTAGAAAAAACAAAATTTGTGCCCACTTTATTACCGCTATAGAAATATTATGATAATATTGTCGTTATCCTTATCGCAGTATCATTATCATAGTTTTTTCTTTTGTAAATATTAGGTACGATATAAATAACCCATAAATAAAATTATTCAATCATAATTTATTCATGAATGTATCTCGCATAATACGAGTATAATACATATTAATAATTATTTTTCCGAATCGTTTGTGAATATTATATTATAAATGATTCGAAAAAAAGTATTTTACAATTTTTTTGCAAGAAAACAATGAATAATGAGTATCGTAGATTGAACGTTTAAATTGTGCTCTAAATATTTTTGCACACTTAACAAGCACCCAAATTGTTAACCTTTAGCCTTTAGAGGCTATAATAAATATGTGGAAGATTTAGCAAGTAATTTTGACCGATGAATTTTAAAGGAAAGACCGAGTGTTTTGCTATATTTGTTCGAAATTTCAAAGTCTAAGGTATGCTTATGTTCTCCACCTGATTTGGGATTAGATGGTAACCGCGTGCATTGGTAAATATACGTTTTACTGATCTCTCTGTAGAAGAAGCAAATTTCAATATAAACTAAGTATAGTATATATTTCTAAATAAATTATAAATTGTTTAAATGCAAATTAGAATGTTCTAGAACTTAGATTATAGCATGTTTCTGCGGAAAAAATTAAATCATTCAAAATAAAACAGGCATTATGAGCATAAATATATAATCTAACGATCATATTTAAACAAAAAACTACAATATTGATAATATACGGTTTTCGATTTATGTTTCTCTCCGAATTAAATTTGTTTGCTACTACTTCATTACTTTAACACATTAATTAAACCACTTTTTATATACAACAATACGTGAACACGTACCGTATTATAACACTCTTATACCTATGTATACGCGTATATGTGATGAAGCGCGTATACGCCTCTACGTGTGTTGTACCATTTTTATTAAAGTACACAATAATTATTATAATACTGCCGCACTTTTCGTTCCAAGTTTTGAGTTCCTGCCAGACGAACATATCTAATTTATATATTGTCAAATACATTAATTTTCCAAACTGTCGGTTCGCATGCTAAATCATACGTATTTATAAAACCTCCATTAAATTTCGTATTGTGTTTATTATTATGAATGTAATTTTTTTCCTTATTTGCGGCTTTTTCTCACGCATGGTCCGTGTCTGTTTTTGTCGATTTGATTTACGTATATTATTGTTTACCAGTTACATATCAGATGTAAGCATGCAAAACACGACCAATGGTCACATTTTTCGCGTGAAATTTTTCATCGTTTCGGCGTGCTAAATTACACCGTAGAGACAAAATGGTTCCGAATAAAATGCAACTGCGCGAAGCAGGTGAGGTCAAAACACGATTGCGGCAATACCCCAAACGTTTCGTTATACTCATAATAAAATAATAATATAATAGGTGTATATGATATATATATATATATATGTATATATACATACACGCGCGTATATAATGTGAGGTGAGTCAAATAATAATAACAATAATACGATTGCAATATGTATAAAAAGAACAAGCACAAATGTGATATGAGTATAATATACGCCACACGTATATATAATACATAGCTACAGCCGACCTCATTGAAATACAAACGATTGCAGTCCTTCCCCTAAAATAAGAAGCTTCACAAAGAGGAGGGGTTTGGTAAAGGAAATCTTGAAATTTGTTTTGACGTGTATTGTCACCGTTGGATCGTAAAACGCGAGATTGAGTTTACTGCATCAAAAAGAAGCTTACGAGGGAGTTCCGAATAATACGCATAGGTAGTACAAAGATTTTGGAATATTTCGAAAGACATTTTTGTTTTCCCTATCTGAGTACACGCTTACTGAACATAAAATGATTATACCAGTGTTATGTTTATACTTTTATTATGTAAAAGTATATTTTGTGGTTGGAATATTTGGTGCACCGAAAAGTCATAAGAAGTATACTTTAACAAAACACTAAGAGATATTATCGTAGAAAAAAAATAATATATAAAAAATATTTTTAAACTACCATTTCTAATTATATATTAATATTTATTAAGTCGTATATCTACGTGTGACAAATGATAATATCATGTATGATCATTTTATTAATAATCATTTATCATTGTAAGGAATATTAGTTTTTTATCACGAATAACGAGTATAAGATAAAATAAAATAGCTTAAGCCATTGTGAAAACAATTTTAATCTATTTTATTGTTGCATGTGTGACATTAGTTTTATTACAAACAAATACTCTTAAACACTCTATACCTATATCTATTTACAAATATTAAATAAAACATATTTATACCGAAATTGGTAAAAAATGCTTTCGAAAAGTGTCAAAACAAACGAAGCATAATAATTCCAATGAAATGTCTGATAA